ACTTTTCTTGGCTTTTTTGAATCTTGTGATAAAACCAAGTGGGAAATCGAAGACCAATGAAGCAGGGCTAAACCGTCTTTGGCTTTGACATCTTTATGAATATTTTATTTCTTTGATATTATTTTCAATAAATAATTTTATGTTTGAAATCTAGCAAAGCACCAATAGTGAGCTATGACATATTTTTCCACTCCTGCAGTGCTCGAAAGGATCTTCAATGGACTCTACCAACTTTTTGTTCAACTTTGTACGCGTTACTTGTCGAATGTGTGAACTGGAAATCCTAGTTTTCGAGAGTTCCTAGGGATTAGTGTGGATAAACAATAGTAGTTTAAGCTACCAATATAAATTGGCCAATATCAACATGCAGTTTTGAGTTATATGAATGCAAACATGAGAGTTACAATTTTTATCATTGGGTTTCTTACTCTTGCAGCCACTGGCATTACCTTATGTGATGGAAAGTCCAGTGCGCTTTGTATTGAGAGTGAGAGACAAGCCCTTTTACAGTTCAAGCAAGATATCATTGATCGTTCAAACAGGCTATCTTCTTGGGCTGATCCTGGGGATTGTTGCAACTGGGTTGGAGTTTCCTGCGACAACTTGACAGGTCATGTCTACAAGTTGGACTTGAGGCCGTCTTCAATTTCTGATTATGCATCAGATGCTGAAATCGGAGTTTATTGGCGCTCAATGCTGAGAGGAAGAATAAATCCTTCTTTGCTCTTGTTGAAGCATCTAAGTCACCTAGACCTAAGTCTAAACAACTTTGGTGGCCTGCAGATTCCACAATTTCTTGGTTCAATGGAGAGTTTAACATATCTTGACCTCTCTAAAGCAGGATTTGGAGGGGCTCTTCCTCACCAACTTGGAAATCTCTCAAAGCTGCAGTATCTTAATCTCGGAGTTACTAGTTTTCGTTACCAGTTGGTTGAAGCTAGGAATCTTCAATGGCTTTCCGGTCTTTCTTCCTTGCAGTATCTTGATTTGAGCGGAGTGGACCTTAGCAAAGCAACTGATTGGCTGCAGGTAACCAACAAACTTCCTTCTTTGGTAGAGTTACATTTGTCAGCTTGCCTTCTTTATGACGATCCTTCACCAATCACTGTTAATTATACATCTCTTTCCACACTTGATCTTTCTAACAACTACATTTCTCCTTCTGTACCTATGTGGATTTTCAGTCTTGGTAGTCTTGTTTCCCTTGATCTGAGTACAAATTCTTTCGAAAGTCTTATTCCCAATAGCTTTCAAAACATGTCATCTCTCAAATTTCTTGATCTTTCCATAAACTCGTTCAATTCATCGATACCTGGTTGGTTGTTTAGTTTGAAACATCTTGAATTTCTCAGTCTTAGAGGTAACCTTCTGCAAGGCAAAATCCCGAGTGCCATTGGAAACCTGAGTTCCATCATTAGCCTTGATTTGTCAGGAAATCAGCTTGAAGGAATTCTACCGACTTCTGTGGAAAATCTTTTCAATTTGAGGCAACTTGATCTGTCTGATAACAAAATTGATCAGGAAACATCAGAAGTTTTGCAGAGCTTGTCTAGATGCTGTTCAGATGACTTGAGGTCACTGAATATGGCAAATAACAATCTCACAGGCCATTTATCTGATGAAGTTGGACAATTTAAAAGTCTATCTAACCTGTTGCTGTCTCAAAATTCCATTTCTGGTCCCATTCCAGCCTCCTTAGGAAACCTATCATCTTTAAAATATATTGATATTTCAGACAATCAATTAGATGGCAGCCTTCCTCAAAGTCTTGGACAACTCAAGAGTTTGGAATACTTAAACATTGCTTATAATCTGTTGGAAGGTGCTGTACCAGAAGTTGTCTTTTCTCATCTCACTAGACTGAGAGTTTTAAAGGCAACTCAAAACAAGTTGAAATTTGAAGCAAAGTCAAACTGGGTTCCTCCTTTTCAATGTCAAACTATTGAAATGGGGTACTGGTTTCTTGGCCCAAAATTTCCAACGTGGCTTCAATTTCAAAAGGACTTGTCTACTTTAGACATATCCAGTGCAGGAATTTCAGATGTTGTTCCCTCTTGGTTTTGGAACTTTACTTCTAAACTGGTGTCCCTGAATATTTCCCATAACCAGCTTGAAGGGGAGATCCCATATTTGTCAGTTCATAAATTGGTTGATTTGAGATCCAACCGGTTCACAGGTCCTTTGCCACGCGTGCTCCCTGATGTGGCTACCTTGTTTTTCTCTAACAATTCTTTTTCAGGATCCCTGTCACATTTTTTTTGCGATTACGAACTAGGAGAACCAAAATTGTTTCTCCTTCAACTCGAGACAAATCTTCTATCGGGAGATATTCCAGATTGTTGGGTGAAGTGGCGAGGCATCCGAGTCTTAAATATGGGAAACAATAACCTGACTGGGAAGATTCCAGACTCTTTGGGATCCTTGGGTTTTATGTTTCTAAATCTTCGGAATAATAAGCTGTCCGGAGAGCTACCATTGACCTTGCAAAATAATACTGACTTGTTTATGCTTGATGTTGGTGAAAATCAATTCAGTGGAAACATTCCAAAATGGATTGGTGAAAGTCTCCCAAATCTTGCGATTCTAAGTCTGCGTTCAAACTCTTTTGCTGGCCATATCCCTCAGGAACTTTGTCAGCTCAGTTCTCTTCAAATCTTAGACCTTGGGGATAACAAAATCTCGGGAGCCATACCAAAATGCTTTAAGGACTTGAGTGCCATGGCCACAAAACCAAATAACACTGATGCAGTCATTGACTTCTTCGTTGATGGGGAGTTCATAAGAAGTGAGTTGTTGGTGATGAAAGGAAGAGTGGACGAATACAGCACCACACTATCCCTTGTTACTACCATGGACCTGTCAAACAACAATCTCATCGGAGAGATCCCCAAAGAACTAGCAAGTCTTGCAGGGCTTCAGTCTTTGAATTTATCAGGAAATTCCTTCATAGGAAGGATACCTGACCACGTTGGCAACATGAGGTTATTAGAATCTCTTGATTTTTCCAGGAACCATCTGCATGGTTCAATCCCTGTAAGCTTCTCCAATTTGAATTTCTTGAGTCACTTGAACTTGTCTTACAACAATTTGACAGGAAGAATACCAACAAGCACCCAACTCCAAAGTTTTGACAAGTTCTCATACGTCGGCAACCAACTTTGCGGACCCCCTGTCACTGAAAACTGCAGCAGAAAAATTGAAACACCTAAGAATGTTACAAATGAAGATGGTCATGAAGAAGATGAGGGGTGGTTTGAAAAGTATTGGATTTATGCAAGTGTGGCGATCGGATATGTGGTGGGGTTTTGGGGTGTGGTAGCTCCTTTGTATTTCATCAAGTCTTGGGGATTGGCTTACTATGAAAAGGTGGACAGTATTGGCCGTAAGCTTTCCAAGTTATGGGTTAAGACTGGTACCTAATTGCACTTAATTGATAGTGTTGAGGGACCAGGGACGATGAGTTTTACGCCCCATGTTCCATTTAAATCCCAAGAACTTTTTCAAGAGCTCGAGAGTCCAGTGAGTCCATACACAGCATGGGAGCCAGCCCAACAGCAAAACTTTTTTAGCTGCTTTGTTGTATAAAGCAGTGTTATTATTTATGTTTTAGTCATTAACTTTTATTATTAGATAAAATATTTAAATAAGTTTTCTTATATTTTTTCTCCAGTTTTGTAATACGAATTTAAATAAAATTTGGGCTAGATATCGAGCTTTTGAGTTTATTCCATTGTGGGTTATTACGTTTAAAATTAATATACGTATTAGGTTTTTTGATTCCTATTTTTTATGGGTAAATTTTGTTTTATCAATAAAAATCTAAATAAAAAAGACACATACATATATATATATATATAATAATCTATTCGTGCTATTTAATTCATTTTAAATAAAAGTTAATAAAAAGTAAAAAGTAAATAAAATTTTAAAAAATAGAACAAAGAAACTAAAATCACTATCATATTGATGAAAAAAATTATGAATCACAAACTCTGATAATGTCGACTAACAATATAGTTTCACATTAACCTATAAAAAATATAAAATTAATTATTAATGCACTAAAATCTTTCATTATAAAAAAATTATATATTAATCAAATAAGGGAAATCAAGAATCATGGATAAATCAATAAATAACCATTAATTAAGCATAACAATTACAAAAATTATTTAAAAATATTTTATTGTCATCTATTACCAATATAGAAGTACAAAACCTATACATTGAACAAACACTACATTATTTTATCACTTCTCATACAAAATTCCATATCAAAGTGATTTAATTTTTTCTTTTTTCCCCTAAAAATTTATTTCAAATCATTAATTTATAAAACATAAAATGATTAAATATAGTGGTTAGTAGAAAGTTAAAAAAATAGCTTAGATCCAATAAAATAGAGAGCAATGAATCATTATGGCCCTACTTTTGTTATTATTATTTTCATTGCAATCATGCCACTTTTATTGTTTTTTTAATAATAATCATTTCTTGTTAGACAAATACAATATTTCAATTCAGAATATATAATATTATTTACATATTAATCAAATTCATACCAGTTAGAAATTGTTGTAGTGGGTAAAGACCATGTTTGAATGATTTCCATGTTAAATTTCAGTCTCTAGAAACCCTAATTAGCATGGACATAACCAGATTCCTCGCTTCATAAATTGTTAAAGTTGCGTAGTTATTGCCTCCCAATTCTTCTATGGGTGGTTATGCATGTGGGGGGATGAATCATCATTGAACTCTATCCTTTTCATACATCTTTGGTTGCAGAGCAAAATTTTCTATGACAAAACTCTTTTGGGGGCAAATATAAAGCCCAGTAGTAATAAAAT